GGGTCAAAAAATGTTTTAAAAACACACCTGTACAATGCAGTTCATAAAGCAAGTGGATCCCAGATTCTGTAGCCCCCGCAGGCCTATTGTTGTATGTGGGCTGATGAGTCTTCTCTTGCGCAGACGACGGAGGGCCATCGCCTCATTGTTGTTAGGCAACCATGGAGTGTATGGCACATGTAATCCTAAAGATCTGTATACAACATTATTAATATTGTAAATGTGCAAAATGACACCTCTACAGATTCCTTGATCGAACTTGATACAATTTACAAAAATTAATTACTCTTAAAATTTGTATTGTAAAATCCATGTTACAACATTAATTTGTTATTAGTCATGATAAAAATCTGCTTTGGTAATTAACTGCAAACATTTATACAAAATGAAAATAAAGGAAATCATCTTTTTTGGTAATTTTCAAGTAACCTTGTAGTTTATGTGTAAATCAATAAGTATATTGTTACATCAAGTTCAAAACAGCGAAAGGTTGCAATTGCAATAGATAAAACAGTTATGTAATTAATGGAAGGTCATTCAAGGTGGCAAAATAACATATATGGAAGATTTGCTTTTATTGTAACTATTTTTATAATGACAAATCAAGAATAATGACATTCTAGAGGTCAATGAACTTAGTGTACTAAATGCACTTACTTTGCTTCTTTTAATCTGTGTGTAACAGCAATATCAGTGAGTTCTCTATCATAAATGTAGTCTTGGCATTGTGCACAAAATATGTTGCCATGGCTCAAGTCAACATATAGAAAGTGTTTCTTTGTCTTTGAATGATCTTGTATGTGGCCGGCGTAGCATCCGAAGAAAATGCAATGCAAACACGAGTGCATACGCGGTCCCGGTTTACCACATGTAAAACACAAACAAGACGTCGCCTACGAAAAAAATATGTTTTAAATTCACTGTGATAAAAAATTGATTTATTAAAAAAACAGTGGCATAAAATATTTCTTTTGGCACTAGCCAACTTCGCAAAAATCCACATAGCAAGTAAGTGTAGTTCAAAACAGCTGTTTGAGGTCAAAGATTACTAATCAGCTGATTGCTAAATTATACGAGAAACAAAGGTGTTATCAAAGTTATATTGCAATAGTTCACATTATTATAATACAATTAGCTATGAAATCACTCGCTAGCTTCATTGTCATGTAATAAAAAACTACGAAACATATGCGTAGCGACATAAGTATAGTATTCCATTTACCTTGTATTTCCTTGCCTCGTATGAAGTGCATGATACGAAAAATGCGTGGACTATTTTGTAAGGATGTGTACCCTTGGCGGCCTTAAAATTATTCAAGTGAATGCAACCATTGTCATTCATTATTTTGTTTGTAAAATAGGAGTGCCGGCTACGCCAATTACGTCGTTCAAATTCTACACGGCTAGAAAGAAAACTTTATATATGCTTCACATTTTTTAAATCACATTAAATAATCACAAAGAATCCATAAAGTTAATTACAATCACAAATAACAAAAACCACTACATAGGGCGTGTTCCTTTTCTCACCCTCAAGCCAACCTCGTAACGCTTCTTCGTCAAATAATAAGCGAGGAGATACTGCGGCGAGCAAAAGCAATCTATGATCATCTGTGATCTGTGCTATGTCTATGCTGTGCATTTTAGGGATGGACATTGAGCGTTGATTCAACGAACTAGTTCAATCCACCGTTGGTACGTTGATACTCCTTCAATGTTATTCCATTAGCCAAAGCGTGTTTCATTCACGTATAGTTTTCTTAGACTTATTCTTCCAATCTTCAATTACTTATTTGTTGAACATAAGATTAAATAGTTCATACAACAACTAGTTAATCGACTAGTTCTAACGATTACCAAAAAGCGATTCGTATTGTTGGTGCCAAAACCGTCAACGACCTACGACCTGATACATCCCTAGTGTCTGGTTCTTCGGTCAGTGTTACTAGGTTGAAAAACTTTCTTCCATATGCTGCCATCACGTCTAGTGTGCTTCCATTTATCATCGGGATCTGCGAGACCTATAGTCTAGACTTTTCTTCGTCATGATTCTACTGTAAGTGATAAATCTCGTTACATCTAATCACACTCAGTGCGCAAAGAAAGGTTCTGAATATTTGCCAAATAATTTTCCAATTTTCCGCTTTTTCTGACTGTTTCTAGTGTTGCCAGAGACTTAAAAATAACACGAAGCTTAACTTTCAGGTTCGATTTAAAATAAACAGCGGGATTTAAAATTTTATCAAGTAATTGTCTTACAATTTTTTCTATCAAATAAACTTGAAGGCATGTTTATTTAAAACTAGCTCCCTTACAAAAATTGCATAAGTCAATTCCTCAAACTTTAGTGAACGCGACTTAACAGACTGCTGACTGAAGAGTTTCCGAGTAGTAAATAAATATGGCCGTCAGTCAGATAATAACGATGTAAACTTTTGTTTACTGTTTTTACTAATTCTAAGACATGATAAGTGAATTTGAAAATTTGTCTCTTGGAGGAAATAATACTGCTAGTAATCATGCAGATCCTTTTACGCACACCGGTAACATCAATATCTATTTTAACGCTTTACTTTCCTAATATGACCTCAATGTATAGGCTTCTATGTTTATACAAAATACTGTATCAATGACATATTTTTTCAGAGTTAACTCCTGAACAACAAAAAACCTTAATAGAAATAAGACGACGTAAGACAGAATTGCTGTTGGAAATCCAGGTAAGTAGTGGATCAGCCCATAGATAAGTTTAGCAAACGAGTTCAAGACAAAAACTCTTTTAATAATAATAACATTTACATTAAACTATATCATTGGGTATTTGCATCTTATTTCTTAAGTAAATATAACAAATGTGACACGTTTCGCCTTTCAAAATAATTGTTTATATGTTAACAAAACTATGATTTAGCAAACTTTGGTAAATGCATGTTATTTGTCTTATAATTCATAAGAAGTAAATCTAAGTAAATGATAACCAAACACTAGAAACATAAGCACCCTTTTTTCATATAAGAAACAAACTATAAAAACTTACATGTTGGTGAAAAATAACATGTGAATTAGTAAAAAGAAATAACAGCTTCATGTAAGAATGTTTACTCCTAAACAGTGTAGTGCTATACTCATAGTTGTTGGTTACTTAGACAACCGTTAAGTATAGATTTCTTTGAATAATTAAGATGCACTTAGGGAGTTTATTGACTGACTAATGTCTTTGGGTGTGGCAGTGACAGTCAAGCAAAAAGATCACTTATAATAGTAGGAATGTGTCACAATTGTTTACACATGTTTTGTGTTACTGAAACTTCAATATTTATAATTTAAATAACTGCTTGGATGTTATGAACAAAAAGCTTAATAAAATTTGCTGATACTTATGGTATTTGCAGTATAGCTACCATATGGTTCTAACTAGGTCAAGCAACCCACTGATTTCTTGTTACGCATGAAGTCATGTTCTGAATTTAAAGAAAATACAGAAAAACACTTAAAAAAGATACATTATTCAGCGATATGTTGTATTGTTTACAGTTATAATATGCTTAATTATTTAACAGCAGATTTATACAAACTAGTTTTATTTTAAGATAATTTATGTTAAACGAGCTGTTGCCCACGACTTTGTACGCGTGGTATTAGAAAACATACAAACTATAAAAATTACAAAAGCTACGTACCCCTCGGGAACCGGACATTTTTTCAGGGATGAAGCTTATCCCATGTGTACTCCAGACTTTGTTTTATATCTGTGCCAAATTTGAATAAGATATGTTGCACCATTGCTGAATGATCGAGTAAACATTAAAAAACTAAATCAATGAATCCCATGGGAACCGTAACTATTCCAGGGATAAAAAGTAGCCTATGTGTTCTTCCAGACTATGCTCTAAACCTGTGCCAAATTTCATAGAGATCCGATCAGCCGTTTAGACTACAGACGCTAACAAACATCCATCCATCCATCCACCAATCCACCCATCCATCTAAACATTCTCATTTATAATATTAGTAAGATTAATGTGATTTCAAGAAAACAAAAGAAATTAAGACTAGCTGGTGCAGGGTATTCAATTATTTGTGGTTACTGAATCCTATGACTCAAGCTGCCAGTAGTTATAATATCTTAATAGTGTTAATACATATTTTGTAATATTACATCAAATACTAAAAATTATAATGTCTGTTTCTATTTTATCGTAGTTAACATCGCTGCACTTCTTTTTAAATGTATCTATAGCCTGTCTGCGATTTTATTAACTATTTAGATTCATACATTTTTTCTAACTCTTCTGAAGCAGTTTTATACAATCTGCCCTGTTTGGTTTTAAAATAATAATGATATTATATTTATTTAACAAAAGTGCTGATATACACGTAGATATCTTTTATAGCCATGAAAAAAGTACCTTTTTTATTTGAACCTGTTAAACTAGATTAATTTGGTTAGTCCAAGTTGCGGACCCGGTTGTTTCATTCAAAGCGACCCGGGCAAGTTTGTGACGTAAGCCGTCAATGCTCCGTTTACTACGACCGAGCGAGAGGCATGTAGTACACAGAAAGCGGTAAATCGCGCCCCGTCGCAATGTCAGTTGCTGTCAGAACGCGGCGCAAGCGTGACGTATCGCCGCGTTCGACATTTCGTTTTACCGGTTCTTTATTATCAGTATCGCATACCGTGACCAGTGTTTCAAAGAAAACTATGTAAAGTGAATAGTTATAAAACTTCTACATCGGTTATCGGTATAGTGAATTCATCTAATCGAGTGCTATTATAATAAAGCAGTGAGTGGTAATTTAGGTTCCTTAGTCGGACGCCAATATTTTGCGAGGTCTTAAACATAGGTGAAGTTAAACGAATTGGATGTTTTGGGTTCTCATGACATGTAATTGTTAGTTCTTACAAATATTAGAAATTTTATTTAGTTTTAACGTATTATAAACATAAAAATGTTAACTTTAGGATTAGTTGAAATGTTAATTGTTAATGTTGAAGATGTCATACATTGTGTAAATGTAGTTATTTGTAAGATCATTAGATGTAATGGTTGTTAATTCATTGTTATTTAACGTTAACAGTGGCCGTTAACTAGTTAGGTATTTGTCACGTCGTGATTCATTGAATGATTGAACATTCCATTGTTATTGTTACATTTGAATTTTATTTTTTTGTTAAAAATATGCAATCAAAATGTGAATTGTAAGATAAATTTAATCTAAATCATTCTTGTTGGCTTGTAAAGTATTATTCGATTCTATTAGATTTTAAAAATATAAATCAGTGCTGTTAGTCCGTAAATTTTTTCGTTTATGTATTATGTATGTTGGTACCTATAAAGATGAAAAAACCCCTGTCAGTGGACAACGGCCGCGTTTCATAGTTTATCACACTTCCGTTGCTGTTTCCGCAAAACGATATGTAACTTTGATAACACGAAACTGCGCCAATGGTTTATATTTTTGCTAAATGTTGAGAGAATATAACATTTGCAAAGAATAATTGGTTATTAAATACACCCAATCGCTCTATACTTTTTCTAAATATCTGCATTTGATAAAAATTGATTAGATTCAGTTGATTTTCAAATCACATATGTAATTGAAACAGCGTAAGATCTCTACGACAATAATAAACGTACGTATGATAAGCGTGAATGCAAGAAGTATGTCGTAGGCGTAATGCGTAGAGATAAGAGATATGTAAGTAAACGTATAGGTGTATATTTGTCACGGTGCCAAAGTGAGGCGACGTTTGCGATTGTCAGTCGGGTCTGGCGCGCTCGTTAGGGGGCAGTGTGCGCCGAGCGCGATGTGTTTGCACGTGCGGCTGCTGTGCGGCGCCCTGTGGTGGCCGCTGCTGCTCCGCTGCGCCCGCCGCACCTACGACGACGACTACGATCAGGTGTGTGCAGCAAACAGCTTCCACCGCATAACGAAACCGAAATATATGTCGTTCAGCTTCACCTTACATTGTTTGGCAAAAATCCGACTCAGGCACCGGCGCGTGCTCGACGTTTACCACTTATTTGCTTTATTATATTTGCAAGTTTTGTTTACATTGTGAGCTTGTAGGTATCGCGGTTTGTAGCTTCACTAATATCGTGAGGTAGTGCCTAAATATTGCCAGTGTGTGATGTGCAGTGTGCGTTAGCACTCGCTCGGAGTTATGTTTATCAAAGCTGGCCCTGGGACCGGCGAAGAGGAGAGACGCGGATCCGTATCTAATTGGTTTTCCTCGTTGAGACGAGGCGGGAGACGGAGACGTGAAGATACCACCGTCCCGTCCGGCTATGGCTCTCTGGGCCGAAGAAAAGATGGTACACAAGGTCGAGGGAAGACAAGATCCGCCTGGGACCTCACCACCGTTACCAGAATGGTCTGTATTTACTAGCTATCGCTTTCTCACGGAATATTCACGTATTGCAATGTCCTCTGGAGTTTTAGTCTTGGCAGTAATCCAAATGCGCTGCTTGGATGACGCTTTTTGAGTCTACGTGTTAAATTATGACTATACATAGTTCATTGCTTATTATTGAATTGGAAACAAAATATTATTCTTAGTTACCATGTTGTGATTAATTAAAATCATTTCAATATTGTACCCACTTAAATTCTTACAAATGCAGGGTAGTGAACGAAATGACGGAGCGCTTCATTGTCTCGTAATTAAAAAGGCATTGGCCCTGCGGGCAATTGCTACGACAGTGGCGTGGTGCTTATATTAATATTTACATAAAGTAATATATCGGTTTCATCTTTCTATTAGTAAAACGTTACCAATAAACTATTTTGTTGTAAATAAATAGCATGACGTCATTTGTGTTTTGCAACCAAACGACATCCTGATAAGATAAAATTTCAAACATATTCCTAATATAATATAACTTCTGCACCTGGTTACCTAGTTTGTTTATAGATTTATCAGTGATACCCGAGATAATAAGTACTTGTTTTATCAATGCTGCGAATACTGTGAAATCCGTAGAGCGAATCAATTCATTCACATTTCACAACACGAAATATCAAAGGTGATACAATATCGAAATTAATTTCAAAAAAAAATAAATATTGTGCCAGAAACATACCTATCAATTCATAAGATCTTAAACTCAGATCTCCCTTAGTAAACTGATTGATCCTTGATAATTTTTATTTATTAGGGATTACCACTAATTTAGTAATAACAGAAATAAAAGTTTAAGGAAAAAGATAAAAGAAAATATTACTTTTTTTACAACTAATTACTTTCCTACAATAACACGTCAAAACGGCTCTGCCATTGTTAAAATAAGTAAATATCGTTTATTCTTTTACAATGACAAAATATCAGATTTTGTTTATTTAAATTGTTGTTTTGTATTCGTGGAATAAATTTATCCATCATACCTATTCGTAGAATACTAAAATGTACAGTAAACAGTCTCTTGGAAATAAGAAAATTAGGACGTTTTCATGCTTTCTTTTCGGCTTTCGAGATTTTATTATTCTGTAAGCGATGTTCGCTTTCCACCGGAGAAACAAATGATGTTACTGCGTGCTTTTCCCCTGTCCTTTTCATATTGAATACAGTATATTTTTTAATGTCGATCTTCATAATATCACTCGTTATTTTATCAGGAAAATAGACTATCTCACTATGTTTTACTAGGATAAACAACGATTAAATTAAAGCTATATCTATTGTCTATTTAGTATTGAATGAATGATTTTAAGCCCAATTCATTGGAATGGTATTTTTTTTAGTAAAAAACGCATGATATTAAATACATTTACGACACATTTTGAACGTTACGAAAACTATTTTGTTATATAAAGGCGTTTGAAATTTATGTTAAGAAATTTGTATGTAATCGAATTAAATGTTGTATTAACGTCAACATTAAAGCTTGGTTATAAATTGATTTCGTAAAACTTTTTACCAAACTTATATTTCAATTAGTAAATATTTACTATACACATTTACAAATCGCTTTTCTTTGAAAATTCTGATCCAAGACTGTTGATCGCATTTTATCTCCACGAAAAGCGTGTAGTGAAAAGTATACGGCCGAGAATTCAAGGTTCAGTGTTTTGCGATACTAAACTTCGCGTGCCCTTTGTTTATATGTAGATGAGGACAAACTCGTCATGTTTTTGTATGTAAATTACACTAAGTATATGTGTCGGTTTGTTTATAGGCTGGTACACATAAATAGATGGTTTAGTCATGCAAAAGTAAGTGCTAAGATCAAGTGTTGTGTTTTCTGATGGCATCTTTTATTTGTAAACGTACTGCGAGTACAAAATCAATCTATAATTAGTAATGTATAGTTCCCTAGGTTGACGTTTATGAGTTTTAGTTTTGCTTACTTGTAAGATTGTAGACATCTTTGATATTCGAGTAGTAATCAAAGGTTTAGGATTTTTTGTTGTTGTTTGTCAATATTAAAGTTTTGTATTGTTAGAGCATGCGTTTTTATTGAATATTGACGCTTCAATACTGCAGGCACATTTGCATGTTTCAATATACTTTTGCACCGAAGGTTGCCTGCATCCGCTCCCAGCCGCCAGTGAGTCAGGCTGTCATTTTTGTATGCGGATGTCTGATCCATTGAAGAATAATTGACGCATTAAAATGTTAATAATATTAACATTACACATTTAGTACGCATTAGGCTAAAAACTAAATTTGAACTTGATAGTTTATTTCCTTAACTTAATTATTGCGTGGGACGTAATTGAGTTTAGGCAAACAACATAATTAATCATCTCATTTACTAAAACTTTTAGGTCAAAGGTTCTCGAGGTCCTATTATTATTTCACTTTGTTTATGAGTTACCTTACATAAAACGCCCATGTCATATGAATCAGAAACTATATGTTTTTTTATCACTGATGTGTGTTTAGCAGCTGTTACTTTGAGGTTTATTAAAATGTCTTGGAACACTTTTACGTTAGCTGTATTCTTCATTTCAGTGTATGTAAGCACAAAGCCTGTACACACAAAAGGGCCAGACAGGGCGCGATGTGACGCGTCACTACACAATATGGTGCGGTCGCTGCATATAGTACAACTTGCCCTCATACATTGCCCTCGCACAATTACTCTGTACACAGGCCTTTTAATCTGTGCGTAGTCATAGATCATTATCGTGGGATTTAGCTGTTAACACTCTTGTTCGTTGTTTTATTTATCATTGTACAAATGTTTTGAAGCACTATTTAAACTAGCTTAGCTATTTTAATGTTCTTATCAGGAAATGTTCTGTACATTGTATTGTTTCTCGTTATTTCTTTCATTATTAAAATTGTGTCTATGGTGTAGTAAATTGTCGGCTTCGAGTCTAAACATAAATAGTGAAAGATTTGTTGTATCCCATTTGAAGTAAACTTTCTATATTTTACATTCAATAAAAATAATGGGTTGGCAGAATACCAAGCCGACGAGAGTGAAGGATTTTCTCTAGCGAGAGTTTCTGTTGGAATTATCAGCCTTCATTCGATATAAATTAGGCTGACAAACTTCGACCTTCATCGAAGCCTTAAAAGTTGCGTATAATCCACAATGACGTAACGGATTAAGTCTGGTGCCAAATGTATTTTATTGCCAAAATGTGAATTTTCAAACCATTCCTATATGGAATGTTTATTCTTACATTGACGTCATTGATACAACTTTCAAGGCAAACGGCGTGACTATAAACAATCTAAAAATATGTATTATCTAACTACATAAATGTAAAAAACATATACTAACTGAAGTCTATGACAATTGACCGTGTGTTGTTTGATTTTTAGCACTTGCCTGTACTAAGTAGATTCTAGTTCGCTAACTTTTTAGCCCTTGGTCCTAAAAGTCGTGTCACTTATTTAGATATATGTCATTTAGTTATAGTCTCTATTCAAATTAAAAACTTGCAAGTTATTTCTGAGTTAAGACTCTGGTTTTCATTAAATGAACAATTTATTATATTAACGAAACAACGATAGCTGTGTAAGATTGATTACACACTAATATATTTACAAGTTAATTAATCTAACGTTACTTGACAGTAATTAACCTTAATGATTTGACACTCCTTATCTGTTAAATGATGAATACTCGTATAATATTAACACACGTTTTTGACAAAGGTTCTCGTAATATTTAATCGTATTTTTTTTTCGCTAATTGATCAACGGAATGTACAAATGTATTTCATACATCAATGTTTACTGGTGTAATGTAGTTACCTACAACTTAAATTCTTGGACTTTTGTTTGTCATTTTCTGAGTCATACTATCTCACAAAACCATTGCCGTTTGCGAAGAAATCTGCGAAAACGTTTTCTTTGAATTGCGCTCATTGAGTGAAATATGAATGCTGTATAGCAAAAATGAATACAGATGCCCTTTTCATCTTGAAACGGTTATTTTAAATTGCACGGGGCCGACTGAGATGCATTATTCTTATGAGCATAACCGTCATTGTTGCGGACGCCCAGAATAGCCCTGGTGGCGGGGAGGTGCCTTGACCTTGCCGGGGGTGAAAGGGGCGCGGGGCGGGCAGGTACGGTCACCGACTTGCGCGACCGGTTCGTACCCTAGTGCATTCTATGCCGACACACTTAGACTTTATCTTATGACACATTATTAATGGCATTTGGCGCCATGATTCGTTTTACCTTTACAAAACTCTATATTTCTGATGTTATATTTTTCTTTTAAAATATTGATATCTCTGTCACGTATGTATCTGAACGGATTTTTGTTTTTTAGTAAGTCACTGAAAACGGTTCAGTACAAAGTAATAGTCTTTTGGAAACAGTTATTATGGATTATTAAAAACTCTGATGATAATAATGAGGAAAATAATGCCTCGTTTGCATATTTTATACTATTCTTTCCCTCTTCGATACGTAACATTCCTTTTTGTTATGAAATCCGTATTTATAGCGTATCGTGAGTTGAATACTATCGTAGTAACGTTGACTTCTCTATAAATAAAATTCGTTGTGAAGATGTAAAGCATTGCTGGTAAACAATCAATAGCACGTTACCATGGCGACGTGACGCAATGTCAGAGCTCAGCTTCAGCCGATAGACGTTCAATTTGTACGTGACACGAACACGAATCCCGGCGGCCGCAGGGGACCGACAGCTTCGTCAGAAAACTAATAAACATTTACCACTCAACGTGTCCATTCGTTCGGCCTTAAAATGCCCAGATTATGACATTTCGCTGACCTATTCCACTTTTTATTTTAAATATGACATGTCGAAATATCTCAATAAACAATACCAATGCTAATTTACTTGCAATGTGAAGATGTCTGAAATTATTGTGGCGTAAATATAATCTTGTGTTTTCAAGAAAGCTTTCAACTGTTTTTTTTTTTATTATTATTGACAGTAT